AGCGAACGTCTCACAGGACTTTATAAACTCCGGCGCATCTCAGACGACTCGCAGCCGGAGCCGGACGTCTCAGATCCACATCTGCAGCCCGCAGTGACCGTCACACCACGGCCAGCGCAGAGGCCGACGGCACAAGGTGCACTCGCAAATCAGGAGAAAACAAACAGCAGCGTGGACAGAGCAAAGGGCAGCGGCACGAAAAACAGCCGGCCAGCAGGAGACGATGCGGTCAGAGCGTGGAGTCTCACTCGTAGTGGAGTTTAGTTACAGCTGCTCTCCGCTGGATTAAACTCAGACACTGCAGTGGAGGATCAGACGACAGCGGATTACACCGTATTACACTCTCTGACCGGGACGGTCAGAAATAAGACTGGCGTTTATCAGCCAATAACGATTACCGAGAACAAACAACTTGCTGAGAGCACCAACTAGGGCTGGACGATGTCAATCAATCAATCAATCAACGTATATTTAAACTCTGAGGACACTGAGGGAGACCCTCATTCACAAGAAACACAGGGACCGAAAAACTGGATAGTAAAAACACATCAAATGCTAAGGAAGTAATAATAATCATAATGCAAATTTAATAGCATCCACAATAAATCTTTAAAATTACAATAATATAAAATCTTCATGAATAACAAATGAAATACGGATAAAATCAATAAAAACAGTTAAATAAATAAAGGAACAGAAAATGTAAAGCAATAACTTGGCAATAATAAAATAAATAGAAATAATAAAAGTGAAACAATAAAACATCAAAATCATATTAAAAGTTAAGTCCATAAAACAGTGTCAGGCTGTCTAGAACGTCTAACTAACTGGCATCTACAGGGAAACGTCACGATGGACGGTTCTCTGTTCTCTGATCTCTGCTCAGCTGGTCTTTCCTCACTTTTCCTCCACGTCCACCTTTTATTTTACATGAACGCTGTGTTTTCCGATCCCGGCTAAATTATCCGGTTGGGGAGCTGAAGCGTCGTTCGTTAGAGTTCTTAGCGAAGTCAAAGAAAGTGTGTTCCTGTCTGAGTCACTGTTCTGTCCCGATGGGGCTGGCTTTATTTTATAAAATCACTGAAGAACCTGACCAGTCTAAATAATGTCCAGACAGTTCTAGGAGGAACCCATAACTTAAGTGAAGGTTCTTTAAACTTTTAAAAGGTTTATCACACTAATATGGCTCTTTATTTCGGTTATGGTGTATAAAACAATAAAAATCGTAAATCCAGCACTGAGCGGTTCCAGATTCAGATCACACTGTGTGAGTTCTGGTGTGTGGTGGAGCTCACAGCAGACGGCCCTTTTCCTGGGTTCCTGATCTCCTGAGTTCCTGTATGTGTTCTCCTGCGCAGGTGAGCTCAGTTCAGGAGGGAACGCTGAGGCTGAAACATGCTGCCGGACCTGTTGTGCGTGCTGAGATTAAGCCGTGGCTGCGCCCTCATGTACACGACTAACCAGGTGCTCCGGCCTGCTGGCTGCACTCCCAGCATTCCTCAGCGCTCCGGCATCAGCTAACACTCCAAAGGGCAACGCGCGGCACACGGCCTTCACCGCCGCTCGGCCAGCGCACGCCAACCACACACACTCGGCACCGCAGAACCTGATACGGCCGCAGAGTTCTGGAGAAACGCTCCTCACCTCTGAGTGAAGATCCCTCAAAAGCCTGAGGACCTATAACGATTTAATAACTGAATAATAAATAAGTTATAACAATGAGACAGCTGATCTGAAAATCTGTCCATTTTTCGTCATAAAAAGCCGAGTAAGAGCCACACGCTGGGATCGGCGCCCAATCAGGGCGGGAAATATGACGATATTCATCACCACTGTGATCAATTACGTCACAACATGCTTCTCTGATCCTGCTGGAGATTTCAGAACAGAAAGAGCACTGAACAGCAGGAACGGTTCTAGTGCTGTTTAGCGCAGCACAGCGTGGAGAACGCTGAGTAACACTCAGCAGAATGAGTTTGATAGATATTTACTCAGAGAATAAATCAGAATCAGACAGATGTTCAGATCTATCTGATAACTGATAATGTATTTATTGTACTTGCTGCACTAAAACATCTGCATTTATTAACCCAACAGAAAAAAAACGTAAAAACACTTAAAAAAACGTAGATTCAGAGTAAAATCAGCCTGTATTACCGGAATAATACATTTATTTCTGTTCACTCTTAAAAAAATGGTTCTTCAAGGGTTCTTTAGCTCTGTACAGAACCATTAACACTCAAAGAACACTTATTTAAACAATGCATGGTGAAATGGTTCTTCAGATTGATGGAGAATGTGTTTTAATGGTTCCACATGGCACCAAAAAGGGTTGTGCTATTGTTAAATCTTAATATCACAACAATAGAAGAACCTTTTTCGGTGCTATATATACTCATTTTCAAAAAGGTTCTATTTAGAACCATCTACAACACATTCTCCATCAATCTGAAGAACTGTTTCATCAAGCAGAGAACCATTCACTTATGCACATGGTTCTGAGTGTTCATGGTTCTACACAGAACCACTGCCTTTACTAAAGAACCCTTAAAACAGACGGTTCTTCAAGAGTGTAGGGTTAGGCATACATAATATCAGATAACGGCCCACAATATAAATATATCAGCCCAACCCTAATAATAAAAATCACTGTTTTCAGAGTTTTGATAGTTTTGATTCTGTAACTGTCATGAGATTCTAGCTGGTGATTAACTGTCCAGTAAGTTAGAGTGATTAATGATTGAAGTGTCTTTTCCTGTTTACTGTCCAGTTATTAAAGCTGCACTATGTAAGGTATTTGTTGTTAGAACTGTAAGTAGAGTCGTTTCTGAGTGAGGAGAACATAAACACTCTAAATATGCTGAGCTGCTGCTGAGAGTCGCCTGTAAAGCCTGAAATAACCGTTTAAAAGTCAGAGGCGTCGAGTTTTTCCCACCACGTCGTACGTCTTTACGTATCAACGTCACACACAGACTCTAAAAGGAGGTCCGGCTCGATGTTTCGGCCTCAAATGATCTCAGAATCACCATCACACTGATGAAGATGTGATGACAGTAGTAGATGATTCACTCTCGTCCTCAGAGACGCTCCTTCAGTTTAGACTGAGTTCTCTCTGATTCTCTTTCAGTCAGCAGATTCATCCACTCAGGGAAGAAGCACAAACCACGCTACAGAATGTTCTGTGTGCAGTTACACATTTCTACCAGAGGGGGCTCCAAATCCCCAAATCATACATAGTGCTGCTTTAAAGTAAAAGCCTGCATTGGCCAAACTGGCTGATTAGCCTCCTTGTTAGCTATGATCACTGAAGCTACACTGTCGAATCAACACTGCACACACGTCTACAGTCACACAGATGTGTAAAGTCATGAAATATAAATTATTAACACTCAATATAAAACAATAAAACAATAGAATTACACAGCTAAAAAATAAACAAACATTACTCAGCGCTGCCCTCTGCACACGTTAGAGCTGAACTATGTTTTCATCATAAATTTCACAATGTCTAAATGCATTTACGGCATTTACTGCTTTCTTTATTTACATTTATTTCCCTCAATCATTCCGTTTGTTGCCGTATAATGTGTGAAATCTAATGACTGTGGAAAGTGACGCACTCAGCTTAAATAACTAAGTGATTGTGTAATAACTGTGACAGGCCTAGTTCCACCTTATCAAACCCCAGAAAAGCTAAATATCGTGATATTGCGTATCGTGATGTTATATTTTTGCCGTATCGCCCAACCTGCAGTGCTAAAAACCATCCAACACTCAGACGTTTCAGCCGATTAAACCAGCTCTGAGCCCAAAGAGCTTCAATACGCTGAAAAAATGACAAACTGGAAAGTAAAAACATCTCAAAATGAGAAATAATAAACTGTAAAGAATAAGATTGTCACTTCTAAACGTGTGCTCCTTTTAAACCACTGTATCCAGTGAAAATGCTGCAGTGTCAGCACATAATTCTGTTTTTTTTAGAAATGATGCTCAAAATAAGACCAATTATGTGCCAACAGAGTTACGCTGTCTCACTGCGACTTACGAGTGAAACGTCTAGAAATAAGATAAATAATCTCATAATATTCTTACTAAATGAGAAACATTATTACAGATCTACTAGATTTAAGCTGTTTTTACCTGCCAGCCTGTACTTCATTACAGCGCATGTGGTTTTAACAAGTTTATTAAACTGTCGAAACATTATTGACACTAAAGCTGCTGTTCACACATCAGAATGAAGATGAAGCTGAGAGCAGAAGATTAATACAGACAAAGCGTCAGAGACGGAGCTGAGTAACATAACTTATCATCATGGTGACGTGTGACTGTTTAACTGGATTTAGTGCAGCGTTTTATGTGAAATGTTTTTTTTTTAATGTGACATTATTAGTGCACTGTGTCAAAACAATGCGATATATTTATCATGAAAATGTCTAAGTATCGTGATATGATATTTCCACCATATCGCCCACCCCATTAGCTCAGAGCAGGGTTATTACAGTTTACTACAGCTATTATTAGCAGTAAAAATGTGCTCATTAACTGTAATAAATAAAAATGACATTTCAAAAACATAAATAAACTAAACCAGGACTATAACTGCAAAACCAACCAAAACACAATACAATTACTAGTAAAACTGAAAATAAAACATATAAAAATATATAAAAAAATAACAACTTAAATTATTCATTCTAAAATTAACCAAAACCAAAATTAAAAAGAAAACTCGTGAAAATGTCTAAACTATAATAATCCAGCCAAACAGCTGCTTTACGCTAAACTAAACCTGCGCAGGTCAAAAGTAAAAGTGAGAAAATTCAGATTTCAAAGTAAAGTAAAGCGAAGAGTCCCTGAACTCCACACGGGTCAGTGTGTATTAGAACATCAGCGGACCTAACAACCCAATCAGAACCGTAACACACAAGGTGAAGACGCCTGCAGTGATAAACAAACCCTGAGCAGAACCGCAGGCAGAACCACGGTCAGACACATACCAGGAAAATGGACGGCCCTTTAGTGTTCCTCACAATGTCTCCCCAGAAGTCCTGCATTACTCCCACTCTGCGCTGTGAGAGCTTAACGGAACACAACTTGAGAACTCTAGAACTCCAGCAGCCGCACACACACAGGGGGAGGAGGAGGAGGATGAAGGCTAAAGCCGAGGAACAGGAGGATCCTCTTAGTGACGCAGACTCAACGTGCGATCCGACTCGCTCGTGCCGAGCTTCCAGACCAGAGACAGCGTGGAGAGGAGACAGTGGAGAAGATCCAGGAGCAGAACGTGCGGAAAGAGCCGCTCGCAGCGAGGGTCCGCACGTTCCCTGCTGAGCACCACTGGGTCAGACTCGCTCACGCAGACCTAAATATGGGGGTTATTTATATCATACAGAGAGGTGAGGGTGCTATTCCAGGAGGAGAGGGGGGGGGGCTCAAACAGATGACACCAGACAGCCGTCTCACTGACCCCAGAGCTCACAGACACGTTCAGATTCCCTCTCTAGACTCCGCCCACAAACGTGCTGCTGATGCAAACAGCACAACTAAATCACCACACATTCCTCCAGGCGCGTCCAGGATTCCAACAACATTCCGTAAGATGTAAACAGAGCCGTTCAGAGTGGTTCTCCGTTCTAGAGAACCTTACAGAGTCAGAACTGTTCACAGTGGTGGTGATAGGAACCAGACGTCCACCTCTAAAAGCTCCCTCACAGAAAGTTCCTACATGAAATGGTTATGAATTCACTGCCTGATGACTGAGACACTGTTTTATGATAGTTTAGAGAACTTAAACTCCATTCATGGTGGAGGGATACATGCAGGGCGCTGTGAGGCAAAATAGTCCCCAAAGAAAACTTATTATTTCAGATTTTCCACTATTTTCCATCATCAACATTCCATATAAACTCAGAAGACTCGTGTAGGTTCTCTGGTGGTTCTGGATAGTAAATAAAATGTCTGTATTCAAAGGGAATCTGGATTCGGTGCAGTGTGGTAAAAATCTGGAACCGGTGCAGATTGAGGGGAATCTGGATCTGGTGTGGTTTGATCTGCCTGACTGTGGTGAACTCTGTGAAAAACAATATTGCAGTTTATTTGCTTAAAGATGCATTAAATGCGATCCCGCAGGTTCTTGCCAGGTCGTCTGAGAGACGAATGTGGAAACTGGCGCAGGCCTCCACTAAAACACAGGTGGCAGGAAATTAAACTGCGCATTCTGTTTTGTCTGTAAATACCACAGACTGGCCGCGGTTCTCATCCTCTCGAGGCCACCTGCTCACGGCCGGCTCGCCTCACCACACTTCCTGTTGTGCGAGTCACATGTCGGGAAAGCGTGAAAACCAAAACACGGAGGCAATTTGCGAAGTGAAAACGCCGTTCAGGACTGCGTCACTGACTGCCTTTACACGCACCGCGCCTCCGCCCAGAATAGCGGCTCTTCGCACCAGCGAGTCGGTGACAGACGGGGCGCGATGGCAGGATCCGGCACTTCCTGAACAGCGTTCCAGAGCAGACGGCAGCGCAGACAGCGCAAATCATCTCGGAGAGCAGAGCAGACAAGAACATCCTCATTAGTGTCTCCACTGCTCGGTTAATAAAGCCCCCCTCGTCACCACGTCGACACAGAACTCAGAGCACAGAACTCAGAACTCCTGGAACATTAAAACACCCAACTGATGCAACAGCACCTTGTGTCAGGAATGAGGAAGGGAAACTTTCAGAGGAAGTGCATCATCCTTCTGTGATTAAACGAGCAGATTTTGGTCTGAACAGTCACAGTAACTCTGATGCAGCGACATCAGTGACGTCTGTTCACCACAGAATAAACCAGATGCACTGATACGGGAGCCGAGGCCGTCAGACGACACTCTTCAGGCGCCGGTCTGCAGATTCAGATACATAAACATTCATAAAACGGGTAAAAGTGGGACTAAAACTACCTGCATTAGCATCACAGAGAAACATAGTCTACGTCCACACCGCCAGGCTGAAGGGGCACAAACCAGACTTTTTGCCTTAATGTAAACAGATTTGGCTTTTGGCTGTGTGGACGCATATCTGATCTTTTCAAATCCAATCTGTGGAACGTTCACGTGGTGCTAAATCAGACACGTATTCAGCATTTCACCCTGCGCTGCACTAAATCCAATTAAGCAGGCTCTCTTTGTAATCAATGCAGTGGGGAAGTGTGTCTGAAGTACTGATGACGTCTATGGTGATAAAAAGGTCCGTCAGCCTTACAATAGTAAAAAACGGCCGAACGGTCAAACGGCTTAAAATGAACACGCTGACCATCAACCTGAAACTGTGAAACTGGAGCTGCAGATCGTCCAGGAGATGCACATGACCCTCACAGACGAGTCTGTCAGTCAGGAGCTCAGATCAGGTGTCCTCACCTCCACAGCCTCTCCGAACCCGCCTCTACTGATCAAACTCCATCAGCTCGACTGATCGATCATCAGCTCTGATCTGCCGACGGTGTTTCAGAGACACAGACGCTCTACAAGAGCAGTTATTAAAGGAACAGAAACAAAATCTTACAGCTTTCTGCTGACGAGCAGGTCCTCCTCAGAACCCCTACTCAGACGTCAGAACCATCTTATTTGGTTTTGATTGAAAGCGAGATTTACACACTGGAAATAACGCTTTGTTTACGTTTGTTTTTCTGTCTTAAAATAAAGAATCTTTATTTATTACTGCATCCAAATAAAGAGCAACGGATGCTCATGATTTATTTTATTATTTTATTTTATTTTCTACATGTAAATGTCTGTCTGATACTGAGCACTGTGAGCTCCTGGAAACAGAACCAAATTCCCTGTGTCACCAAAACTGGCCAATAAAGCCTGACTCTGACTCTGACTCTGAGGAGATGAAATGTATATATTTCAGTCAGGCAACATGATTATTATATATCACTATCTTGACAAATTATGCCACAATAAAATATTATGTGTTTGTCTGATCATATTGTGTTCATCATAAAGAGAGTAAAATTAGTCCATTTAACTGGATTTAGTGACAAACACTGATTATTAATCACTGTTTTAGAGAGTATTTTTAAAATGTAGCTCTACTGGTTTTGATCAGATGACTGAAAAAATCTACCATATCGTGAAAATTTCTTGAAGTATCGCAATATTATATTTTTTACCATATCGCCCCGCTCTAATACACACACACACACACACACTCACACACACTGAGCACTATTAGAAACACCTCTTTGTTTCTACACTCATTGTCCATTTTATCAGCTCTACTGACCATATAGTCTCACTTTGTAGTTCTACAGTTACAGACTGTAGTCCATCTGTTTCTCTGCATACTTTGTTAGCCCCCTTTTACCCTGTTCTTCAGTGGTCAGGACCCCCATGGACCCTCACAGAGCAGGTACTATTTGGGTGGTGGGTCATTCTCAGCACCGCAGTAACACTGACGTGGTGGTGGTGTGTTAGTGTGTGTTGCGCTGGTCTGAGTGGATCAGACACAGCAGTGCTGCTGGAGTTTTTAAACACCTCAGTGTCGCTGCTGGACTGAGAATAGTCCACCAACCAAAAATATCCAGCCAACAGCGTCCTGTGGGCAGCATCCTGTGACCACTGATGAAGGACTAGAGGATGACCAACACAAACTGTGCAGCAGCAGATGAGCTATCGTCTCTGACTTTACATCTACAAGGTGGACTGACAAGGTAGGAGTGTCTAATAGAGTGGACAGTGAGTGGACACAGTGTTTAAGAACTATACAAACACACTGTGATATATAGTGGAACAGTGAAAAATCACAACCACACCATGATACAGCGACTACGGCTGCGTTTATGTCACACACGGCGTTATCAGTGGTCTGAGCTGAGGGTCCGATGAGGTGATAGCGCGTCAGTCAGCAGGCCCGGCTGCAGGACGCAGAGCTCACCGCTCTCTTTGTCTGAGTCCCCTCAGCGCCTCATAGACCTGCTGATCCTCCACACAGGAAACAATGCTGAACTTCCTGCAGCCTAATCTTCTATCTACAGCACCGCTAAATCCCCCGCATCGTCACAGCGCACGCCAGCCTCAGCCCCATCACCGCCTGACTGAGCCAGGGCTGGACGATATCACCATACAGTATCACAATCTCACACAACGCGATTATTATCACTGATAAAAACCCCAGTTTAGACTCAGTCTATATCGCAATACCTACATTTAGAGTCAGTTATTCATTCAGCCTAATGAGAAACTGTAGAACAGACTCAGTTTATATCACAATACCTACATTTAGAGTCGGTTATTCATTCAGCCTAATGAGAAACTGTAGAACAGACTCAGTTTATATCACAATACCTACATTTAGAGTCAGTTATTCATTCAGCCTAATGAGAAACTGTAGAACAGACTCAGTTTATATCACAATACCTACATTTAGAGTCGGTTAGGAACAAAAAGTCACACTGTTAGTATAGACCATGAGGTTTTAAGGACCAATTAGATACGTAAAATTTTCAGCAGTTTCAGCTGCGTTAGCGGTGCTAGCTAGAGAAGTTACCCGTGGGGCTGAAAGACGAATCGTTTTCATCAAAATCACAATTTGAAACTTTCAAATCGCAAGACCTGCGTCTTTTACATATAAATACACTATGAACAACGCTGTCCTACGTTTAAATGGTGAAATGTAACCTGATAACACAGAGCTGGTAAAGTGCCTGTAGACGAGCTGGACCAATCAGAAGCTACAAAACACCCATGTTCTGCATCTGTGACATCACAACCATCACAACTAACTGGCAGTCTAACATACAGCGTCAAGCTTCATGCCAGAAAAAATGGATATTCCGCTTGCTTTGGCCAAAAATCAGGCCTGAAAATTAATTTATAGAAAATTACTGTATTGAAATCACAATATAGATCAGAAAATGGTAATTTGATATTTTCCCCAAATCATTCAGCCCTAGTTAACATCGTCGCCTACACTGAAGGTACTCAGAGGTTCGCCCACTGTTTTCCTCATCGCACTTCTATATATACACTGGCATTGCAGTAAATCACAGCTTAAACACTGCTGAGCAGACCTGCCAGAACTGTGTGGGTGGGGCCTAATATTCCAATGAGCAGTGATTGA